ATAAGGAATCTTTATCGCGTCCGTGTTATCGATAATCTCCCTCTGAAGCGTTCACGGCGCTTCCTCGTCGAGTTCTCGCTGGAAAATCCGCGTGAAGAAGTATCGAGCGTCTATCAGTGCTTGCGGAAATCCGTTCGCTGCTGCATCACGGGACGATAAAACGGCGTCGCGGATATCCTCGCTGCAAATTGAAACACAAGAGAGGATTCCCCGCTTCGGCGATCCCGACACAGCCTCGTATTTCCGAGGAATCCGTCGGATCCGTACGAAACCGAACATTAAGAAACCCTTTGCTTCCTCTTTCGTTTCGCGCTGGTTGCAGCGGTCCCTGCATTTCCTACGATCTTCTGGGAGGCCGTCAACGAGCGCAAAGTCACGATCTCGCGCTAAGCTGTTCGAGCTTTCCGGTGACTCTTTAATCAGCTTTCGATTGAATCTAATCCACCCGCCCGGAAGAATGAAACTGTACCTTCTCTTTTGGGTTTCTTGACTAGTGCGCAATTATTGTCACGGATCGATATGAATTTCATTTTATACATTCATAACACTTCCTGGTTTTTCAATACTGGAAGAAAGTGAGTGAAGGAACTTAATAAAATTTACCTCTTAGAAGATAGGTTTCTAATATTGCGAATTCTTGTTTATAATAATTGCAATATACCACTTACGACAGAGAACAAAGAAACTTCATGTAAACTATAAACTTGATTCCAATCACATCTACAGACAGAACGCAAAATTGCCGTCATCAAAACGTCGAGTAATATTTACCCGAAGAAACTGAAATAAATCACTTTATTCGATAACTCTTCACAAAACCATCGGACGAGCAACACTCGTCACTTGAATCAAAAAGGGATCGACACCGTGAAACCTCTCGCGAACAAAGGAATGCAATAAAAATGTGGAACGTCGTTGTTGCTGCGTCTAACGGGAGCAGGGATATCGAAAGCCGTTGATTCAATGTCTCAGCCCGGTATTAAAAGGGTACTAGAGCGCGATGCAATCCGTAAACCCGAGAGGGAGCGGGTTTTCCTCAGGGCGGTGATTTCCATCGGTATCTCGCTAAACGGTAGCAATCGGAAGACGAATTTCCCCGCTATATCCTCGCTAACAGTTCGAGGAGCTTGCTCGTAACTGCTCCGCCTACGTCTGAGCCCCGTTCGGAGCTGTCTCCTTTCGGTTCTTCCCTACCCCGCGGCAGACTGTCGGCGATAAATCCAACGGTCTCGCTTCTTGCACTCGCCGCGCCCTTCCAAATGCTGGCGAAGCAACCTGTTCCATCCTTAACCGAGTTTTCGCGAACCGCGCTGCACGATGTAACGTTCATATTTGTAATTCTTAGTTCCCAAGCCGCTCTTAAATAGAAGTTGCAAATAGAACCGTCCTCCGATATCGGAGCCGTCGGCTTTCAGCTTTTAAACTCGAGCTATTAAACCATTGTTGCAACACGGCTTGCACTTAAGAACTACAGAAACGAGTTGCATTATTATTTCATCGTCCATCAGTTTCTGAACGTCTGACTTGGAAATATTATGATATTCGAGCGTCGATCATTGCTAGTTAGAGTTATCGTGATCAATATTCATGCGTCGAAAATATTTCATTTCAAATATAGAATTGAAATTGAGCTTCGTGCGTTTAATGTAACATTTTCGATATCAATTCCGACGTTTTCATATTTCACGAAACCGGTTCAGGTTTAATCGTTGGGAGTTAATTGAGAACGATGTCCCGGCTTTCTTAAAATTCATTATCTCCTGTGTTTAATTTACCGAGACTGTTACGTATTTCGAGTGGAACAGAGAGAAATTGATTTCACGAAGCCACCTACGTTACGAAATAAAACAGTTACAAAATCGATCATTTCATTATCGAGTGAAACTGAGTCCCCCTGTTCTTTCAGTAACGTTTAAATAATATCTCTCATTTTTCCGTTCTCAGTGAGCTAACATTTTCCACTGCGCGACGAGGGAACGCAAACAAAAGATCGTAGAGCCCTTTTTTCAAAGTTCACCGTAAAAATCACCGAGCTCGTAAGTTCACGTCGAATATATTCGGCCAGGGGCGCGGTGCCCTTTTTCGGTCGACTGGTGTTTCGGTCAGCTCTACGGTAATATTTTTTATAATTGAAAATTCGCGCGTGATACGCGATGCTCGATGTCACGCGCGAAGAATAAAAATGCTACAGCGCCATTGTATTTTACTCAGCACGGTCGATTAAGCGGAATCGCCGCGTTCTCCTCGCTTTCCTCGCTTTCCGCGCGGACTCGGCACCGCTGTCAATCGTTCGTCGGACAAATTCTCGGCGACCGTTGTGACGTTCCATTGAACCCACAGGATCCCGTGTCCTCGGATATAAAGTACGGATTCCGCCGTAAAGTTAGCGTTCAGCGGTGAATTTCGACTCCGGACAAAACCGAATGCAGCAGCGCCTCGTATAACACTGTTAACAACATTATAACAGTTTTCTAACGAAATTTCGCGTTACCAATTCACCTATTACACGACAATTAACCCGTACTATTTTCATTTTAATTCAAGGAAGACAGGAATATTTATCGGGTTCATGGAAGAAATTAGTTATCGATTTCTACTATTAACACAACTACCGGATGGATCAAAATTACTCTTTCCTGATTTCATTTTTTCCAATTATTCAACAGATAATAGATGCTTCTTTCGGATTATAACGCGAACGTCGTATTGAAACAGTGGGGACGACACTTTTGGGATTCAAATATTGCCCTATAAAACTGCGGTGGAACTTGTTTATCAAAGCAGAATAATAAAACGACAGGTCTACGAGTTTCATTGCGTTGTTATAAAATAATATCTACATTTATTAGTGGAGGAGCTTGGGCTCATATTTTGGTCCATCAGTGTACGCGTCCTGTGCTTGAAGTGGTCGATTTCCAGTGGCCGGATAACACGAGCCAACTTCGCCGGATTAAAGAGACCGCGCGGCGGCTCTTTGCCTCGGCGTGGACGATGTTTGGAGATTTTTCCGACCTCGTTAACATCACCGCGCCCGCAGAAGCAGGCCGGCCGGAGACACACTTTATGTGCTGGTGAATCGTTGCGGCATTTGATCGTGATTTTGGAGCGGAAACACATTTCATAACGTTCCACGCGAGATCTTTTCAGAAAAACAGAGATACCGGACTGAATGTCGTGTGAGAAATAACTGTAAATGTACAATATATGCATAAACTTTCAGGAAACGACGGAAATTACTGAAATAAATACGGTAATATATATTACTCAGTTCATTTAAGGGATTAAGTAGATATCCGTATTTATTTCAGTAAATTACTATATATATATATATATATATATATATACATATATTTGTTGAATCATGTTGAAAATCTTCGCCACTCGTTGTAAGACAAGGAGTTACAGATCATAAATATGACAAACGTATTTCCAGAAGAAATTATATAGACGAATTATTTATTGGTCAAACTAAGTGCTTCATCAAAGTCTCTACTACTCGTTTCATGTTATTAATCGCATTAGCAAACGAACAGCTTTACGCATATATAATCAAAACAACACATTTTCCACAAAAGAAACGTCACAGTCTAAACCCACAGACTTCAAAACTCTTCACTCACATCCGAAGGTTCCAAAACGAACCGTCCAGTTCTGAAGGCAGCTCCCGTCGCGCAAAAGAGCATAAAAAGTACGCGGGGAAGTATGGTAAATACGATAGTCCGCTTTCCGCGGTCATATGCGCCCCCTCCCGCACGTCTCCGAAACTTTCCCCTTTCCCAGCTGGAAAAGGAGGAAAAAAGTGTGGCAGCGGGAAAAGCCCGAGGAAACAAAATCTCGCGAGCATTTTCCAGAGTCTCGCAAAGCCCGGACGACCGTCGTCACCGCGGACGTGACGTACGCACGCACAACGGGAGTTGAACGCGTGCGCTGTGTGGAGGCTGCTGGTCTGCGGGCGCCAGTTGAAAAATAAAGGCGAACGAGAAACGCGTCGCATCGCGCGCGCGCGGTATTACGCGAGCTTCCACTTGAGAGGATAATTTTTCAAAGGGGTGTCCCTTTTCGGCTCGTCTTCGTTTTGCGGGAGGGGTAAAAAGGCGAGCCAGGTGAAAGGCCGGCCGCTGCACGCGTTACCAACAGGGAGAAAGAGACAGAGAGAGGGAGAACGGGGGAGTTCCGCGGCTTACCTTCATCCCCCGTCTTTCGTTTACCTTTTTCACGGCCTTTACGTAGCAACCTCGACCCGCACTCTTTTCCTTTTTTTATCCCGCGGATCCCGCACCCTTCCGTGTGTCTTCCCGCCCACTCCCGCCCTCCGCCGGCCGGCTTTCCGTTCGCGGCAAGATTTTTCTGGGCCGATGAAGCATGCACGCCGTGATTCAGCCTCGCGCGACGGAGACATCACACGGCGACAGGGACCCAAGGAAGCCAAGGGTACGCGTCCGTCCGTGCGCGCTTCGATAACCCTTGATCGGATGTACACTCGTGAGCAGCCACTTGTGGCGTAACGTAGCCAGTTCCTGCTGAGGCCGGATTGACGTTGGCAGTTGAGGATGAGGGAGTGCTGAAGTTTTGATGGAATTTTTTTGATGAACGCCGAAGAGACTGGAGAGGGATTGGTGTTTAAATAGGAATGTTTGGGATGTTTCTTTGTTGTGGCATATGGGAGTTGGGTGAGAAGGTTGGGAAAGCTGGTTGATTGTATTAAAGATTATATTGGGTTGGAATTTGATTATATTGAATATTGTATCTTGGTAGTGTTTGATTGCATTGTAGATTATATTTGATTAACACTTGATCACATTATGAATTAACATTTCGACTTTGAACGTTACTTTTAAGAGTTATTGGAGCTCTCGTAAGCTTAACAGTTTCTTGCCAGTGTCTTTTGATTAACTGATGGTAAAATAATTCTTTTGTTATCACTAGCGCAAAATTATCGAAAAAATTCGAATTTCAGATTCTAAAAGATTCTTCTAACAGATATGTCTGTGTTGTTACAGATACCCACGATAGCAGCGATGAAGCAATCACCGTGGATTTCCTTGATTTTTCAAGCGTTGCTAGTCATCTCGTTGCTGTCCTCGGGTCTATCCGCGTCAACGAGATCGCGTGGGAAGAAAAAGGTCGCGAAGGAGACGAAGGAGATGAACATTTGCGAGATGCAGGGCCAGGAAGTAGCGATCTTTTGCTACTGCAACAGCAACGCGATCAGGAACGCTTCGGAAGCTAAATGCCTGGTCCTGAAGTCGATCAATCTGAACGATCCGACCTGGAATTACTTCAGCTCGCAGATCTATCTGCAAGAATTGACGTTCAACGTACAGACGAACAGTCTGGAGTACATACCTACGCAGTTGCTCCGGCAATTGAAGAATCTGCAGAAGATCGCATTCCAATATGCGAAGATCGACATGCTCGCCGAGTACGCATTTTCGAATCTGTCCACGATCACGGAGATCAATTTGAACAGCAGTTCCGTATCGGCGCTTAAGATGCACGCGTTTGAAAACATGAGGAACCTTTCCATCATCAATTTGAATGACAACAAGATTGCCGAGATTAACAGGTGACTATTGTTCCTTTATTGATTTTGATATTGATTTTAATATTGATTTTGGTATTGATTTGGACATTGATTTTAGTATTGATTCCATTAGACATATCCAAGATTCATATTAGAGATGATTCGTTTGCACTGATGCACTATTTAGATAATCCATCAACTTATATTTGTTCAATTAAAATCACATTAAAGACGACGTTGCATTGAATTGCATATTCAGAAAATACAACTAGCAAGGAAAGTTTATTTGTAGGTCAGATTCGTCTAACAGGTACACGCAATTAAAAAATTAAACGTCACGGTGCAATGTTTTTTATAACACCATTACAGGCCATGAAACACTATAATTCATGCGTATAAAGTTTTACGCGGCCTCGTAACATGAACTTACAAAACGATGACATATCTAAAATGTGCAGGAACTTGCAAAGTCGATGCCGTCTTGTCAAAGTATTCCCCTAATACCTTATCGCAGGCAAAATCTTTACATTAAACAACGGTTACGTGGTATTTACTGAAACATTCACCTCGATCATGAAACTATAAATTTTTCCTATAAAACGAAATACACTAGAAATTCTATCCCACCTAACGTTAACACTAAAGCTACCGAGCAATTAAACTGACCTTTCGAAATTCCTCTATAGAAACTCCAAGAATGCATCTATCGAGACTTTAACTGATTTACAATTCAATTTGCGTATTGCTAAATCGAATTCTTTAACAATTTCTCAGATGTCTGTCATCTTTTTTCAAATTGCAAAAGAAGAAACCAGGAATGGGTCATTTTACCCGTCTGGTAGTTTTAGTGTTAAAATATACATTCTCTTACAGAAACTAACGAAACAAATTTGATCAAAGCCTTCAACGAACGAAACAAGCGTGTAAATTTCAGTTAATTAAGCCGCCGCGCTAAAACCCGTGCTCCTATAAACAGCCGCACTCCGGATACCTAATTACATTTATCGGAGAGCCAATATCGTTTGCGAGACTAATCGAAGACGGGTGTGCGAGACAATGGGCCGCGCCGGATTCCAGTTTCGATAGTCTCGCCGCGATAAGAGCCCTCTCCAATGAGAGCACCCTTCATAATTCCGAATAATTCGTTCAATTATGCCGTATTGCGAGCTCAGCCTCCTCCAGCAGCGGGTAAATTGGAAACGTCTTTAGCCGGCGCGGCGACATTTTACGAGGAACGCGCGCCGGGATAAATTGCTGAGGAATTCCTCGAGTTCCCTGTGCTTCGCGGTTTGAACGTGTTTTCGGCGGGATCGGCGCGTTTGATGATCGCTACGATACTACGGGGCGTCGTCTCGGTGGGTCTTGAAATCCGGACTACCGGGTGTTTGACGCGGTTAATAATTGATTGATCAATTAGCGACGGTCTGGCATACGGGTATACGGGTCACGAAGGTTCGCTACATGTAGACCACGATTGATCGATGGAATTAAACGATTCGGCTGGAAAGAAGAGCTGGCTTTTGCGGTGAAGCTTTAATGCATTATTCTTTGGTTCATTATTAACCCTTTACACTCGGAAATTTTACACTAGGTATATTCAACGTTTTCCGATAAAATATACACGACGCTCTTTGAAACCAACCAATGAGGAAACGTACACAAATCAAAAAACGAAGCTATTTTACTCCAATATTTTACATATCGATGCATTATACGAAGCTTAATATTATATATGACCTTATAATTTTATTATATCGAATCAAGCGGTGACTAAGAGTCATCTCTCCAGTGCAAAGGGATAATTTATAGGATGTATTATTCTATAATACGTTTTAATTACTGTAATGTTATGTGTTATAGCAGTTTGATGTATTGTGTTTGTTACTGTTTATTGAGCTTTGACGAAGTTTGATGGAGACTTTGTTTAATTGATTGTATTTATTTATTTATGTATTGGAAGCTTGTTAAGCTTTTAGCAAGGAATACATGATATAAGACTGAGAAGAAGTATTTAAAGGAATGTCAAAGTTTGGAGGATTTATGGAGGTCATGTAAGCTGACCTAGCCAGTCAAACTTCACTTTAGATCTCCGCTCGGATCGGTTTACGGTTGGTGCTCGTGAATAGTTGATTCCCGAATGTAGATGATGTATATCAGTTAGTTTTGGGATGGTGAAGTTGGTGCCTACCAAGTATCGTGTTCTACTTTATTATGCAGCTATATCCGGAACGCAACTTGTGATTGTTCGGACTTGAACGTTCATGTTCTATAATTGATTAGTTGAGTATAGCCGAGAGGGGAATAACTTTGTAATATAGTTTCTATTGTTCGTATTGGACGCTCCTATACTCCTGTAGAATTCATTCAATTTGAAGAGTACAGGGAAGAGCCAAAACTTCGTAATATAGTTCCTATTGTCCGTTTCGGACGATCATGGTTTCTCTTGTAGAAATCAGTCAATTGAAAACTGTAACTTGTACTCTCTCTCTCTCTCTCTCTCTCTATCTCTCTCTCTTGAACCGTTATACTCTACTTAAGCCGGAACTTGCAAAATGGACACTCATTTATGTTATGGATTGTTCTAGAAGGCACTTCTTTGCTATTATGACTTTATTTAACCGTTGAGTGCCAATCGGTGTGGTCATGCTTCTCCGTTACACTGTTTAAGAGTGCCAACTTATAGGTTCGTAGAATCAAATTGAGTTTATTTATTTGTTTTCCTTCTGGTTATTCAGTTTTATTCTTGTTATTACCTGCTTAGAAATGGAAAAACGGAACGATCGTGCTGTTCAGAATTTTTTAATGTAAAAATAGAAACGAAAGGAGCGCTATCGCGCTTCTTAGCACTTCCCGATCGGGATTTTGCAAAGACCCGTGACACTCGAACGGTTAATATTTCTTATTTCATGTCACAATATTAGATCTCCTCCACTGCGATTATGTAAAAGTTATCCAAAAACTGTAACGTTAAGCACAATACGAAATATAATAAGTAATTTGCATATCTGTATGACCAACTCGTAAAGATGGCAATTTTAAAAAAGTTTAGAAAAGTGACAAAGTCATATGGCGAAGATGCAAAACAAAAATTATTAATCTTTGATATGAAAATTCTTATATTACCCTATTACCTAGTTATTTACATTATGGAAAATTTGTATTCAAAATCAATTACCTTCCAAGTCATAATTATTTTCTTGTAATTTGAAAGCACCAGTCTTCGTCAACAAAGTGTTAACGAAGAAATCCAAACACTGTCAAATTGCCAGAAAGACAGTAAAAGTAAAAAATTGGAACCAGAACAACGTGATTTGTGAACTCCAAACGCGACCGACGACAGCGTAACCTTCTCGCGGACAAAAAAATGACAGCGTCGCGAGATTAATTCGGGAATACGCGTATCGCGGTTTCGTATCTGGCGTGTTCGTGCATACGCAATGCATTATCGGGTGTGGAAAGGTTGTGGAAGGGCGCGCGAGTTCAGCGACATGTTTCTACGGGGAAAGCTCCTTATCGGCGCGGCTGGAGGGTGTCGTACTCGCGATCGTGCGATCCCGATTGCTTGTGGGACTCGTAATCTCGGCATTGTTGCCGGCCGGTGTGTTGCCGCGCTATAAATAAACGCCGCGGAGATCGCTGACGCTCGATATGGAACCAGTCACGCGATAGAAACGCGGACAATGCGGTCCGGAGGATGCCGCAGTTTTCGAGGCTCGCGCGCCTCTCGCGCTTAAAAGCTCCCGCCTCGTTCACCGATCGCGCGACCGACACGACGCGATTCGATGCCGGAACTTCGCGTCGCGCCTTTGCACCTCTTCCCTTTGTCCAGATACCGGCGATTCTCGTTCGTTCCCGATCGACATATTGCGTTAGAAAGTTTTTCTCGCTGCGGGGACTTCATGCGCGAAGATATAGTAATTTCGCGAGTTGTGATTTGATGGGAAAGTCATTGCTTGTGGGACTAGTTTAGGATACTTTTTCGTTAGTGTTTTTAATATTTTTATATTAAATATTTTCAGTATTAATATTTTCATATTAATATTTCAGTGGTCATAATTATAGAAGAAGAAACTTTCGATAGCTACATTGTATGTCGGTTTTTTTAAAGATTCTCGAAACCCGAATGTCTCCAGCTCCCAACACTATGATACGCTCGAAAGTACAACACGGATTCGCGATTCGGTCTCGTTACTAAAGTCCACTGTACCAGAGTCAACAGAGCGCGACATAAATTTCTTAGACTGACTGCTTTTAAATCCGCCCGGTACTTGTACACATTCCCGACCTCCGTTTCGTGCAACTATCTTGTTTTCATTGCACCTATCAACTTTTCTTACCCTCGGGTAGCTAGAAGAGGGACGCAGAGAAGTCCCTTTATACAGGCCAACTGGCAAAAATTGCCGGAAGACCCCCCCTCCCCTCGAGAAAATCCAAACTCCGTAGCGAAACCGGCGCCGATTCAATTTGGCGCTCAAGTACGTAGAACTTCCCAGGCGCCATTAACACGGTCATAAAGCTGGTCCTCCGTCCTTCCTCCCGGTGGAATTTCTTCGACGACGTTCCGCCAGTGTCTCTCACATGCCCCGGGTCTTAAACCTCCATCTGTCTCACGGTGTAAATTCAATTCGCAGGGAAACGTTCATCAATCTGCCCTCGATGAAGAGCCTGTTCCTCTGCCGGAACAACATCAGCACCCTCCATGACAGAGCCTTCATGCACCTGACTTCTTTGGAGGAACTGGAACTATCCGAGAATCAGATCAAAGTGATCACCATTGACAGTTTCCACGGACTAAGGAGTTTGCAGAGGTTGGACCTGCGGAACAATTTGATCGACATGATAGGCGATCGCACCTTCGTCGAAATGTCCATGCTGCGCGAGCTCAAGTTGGACTCCAATAGGATCGTTTACATATCGAAGAAGGCTTTGGACGGACTGAGGAACTTGAGGAAGCTTGGTCTAAGTGATAACAAATTGACCAATCTGGAGCCTGACTTTCTGGCTGGTGCTCCAGGTGTCTATTTCTTGGACCTCAGGGACAATAGACTGAAGACCATCACCTTTGATAACATTAAGCCCATTGCTACCAACCTGTACAACAGCTCTAGTCACTTCTTCGTCACTGGTGAGTCGATTCGATGCATGTTTGATTATACTTTTATTCTGTTGGCTCGATACATATGTGAATTCTACTTTATTGAACGAATCCGGGGTTTTACAATACAAGACTTTAACGATATACGATAGTGACACGCTACCGGTTGAAACTAGTCTTACAGACAACTCAGTACTTATGACGAGATTTTTTCTGTGTCAATCAAGTACTTAGAAAAATTATAAATAGCAACCTTGTTCAGTTAGACAAAAGGTAGCAGACGCTACTGGTTAGTTTATCGATCCTGGAATGGTTAACTCGATAGACGGAATATGTTATTCCAGATATTACCGTGTACCCATTAACCATTCTGCAAGTTTAATAATTGAGAACTTTGTCAATCAAACCCGATCTTAATTGCCCTCGTAGTCTAAGAGGGTAATTCCCAAAAATTCTGGCTTAATAATACGCGGGCTTTACGATCGAGAAATTCGACGGCGGAGTCGTCGGAAACTTTAATGAAACAGCCGTAACGGTTTTATACGGGGCTGCCGACCGACCGTCCCAAGAACCAACACGACTGTAAATTCACCCCTGCGGTCACGGTTCGTTTCGAGAACGTCATTGAACTTGCCGGTTTTTACTGTCGGTTAATAGATAATTCCCTAACGATCCAGCGACGCTCGCCGCGGAACGTTATCTTCGTGAATTTCTCGAATCTCGACGGTGCGCCCGTAATTCGTCGACGGCGAGAGATCGAAGCGATACTATCGCGACTGAGAAGTCTTTAATCTTGATCGTTAACCTCTGAGTCACCATTGACGCTCTATTTCGAATTTGAATTTTTTCAAACTTCTCTTTCTTCATTACTAATATTACAGCAATTTAATATATTATAATATATTCACTCGTAATTAGTAACTAAGACTTTTCAATACTTATCATATGTATCTCTTATCATAGTTATCTCTCAGGTGTCTCTAAGAAAGGATCAACAAACTAAAATAACAAAATCAAGTAAATAATGCTAGAAGATTTAGTTTTAACTCTCCCAATATATTACTATGTTTGAATAGTGAATTACGTTGCTCTTAGAAATGATATTGTATATAAATGTCAATTACCGGAAGACAATTTATTAAAAGGGGAGCACAGATCTATAGACCCCTTCTTGTAGAAACGTCTCTTTACTCTAGAAGATGGAGAAAATTGTAGAAAATAATATTAAATAATATTAAATGATATTAAATAATAGGAAAAGAGGCAAGACTGGTGGAAACGGTATGAGAGTTAGTAGTTAGTACCGTCACCTTCCGTCCCCGAAGAGTTAAGAAACGACGCGTGCCAATTTCGTGATCATTCCGTTGATGGCTGTCGAGGGAAGCCTCCGCGTGAGCATCGCGGCCTCTTATTTCCCTGCGCACCACCCTCGCCCCGCCTTGATGCCCTGATTATCTTCCACGGGGATCGTCGATCCTCCACAGTCGCAACGAACCGCGTTCCCCGAATGTTTGGCCCAACTTCGTCACCGTAATCTACTAACCGTGTTAGAACTTCCCTGGAAACTAGCCTTATGACACGTTCGTTCGGAACTGCGCCATTTTTGGTACCGTTTCCGAAAGGGGGTTGAAAGGACTGGAATTGGAAGTGGTGGATCTCTGGGATTTGATGTATTCACAGGGAAACTTTGGCAATTAACGAAAGAATAATCGTTCGAATTTAAACGGTCCGCGCATTCGGGACATTGACTGGAATATTTTGAAAAATTGAAACACTGATTAGTATCAAATTATCCGACGATTATTAGAAATTTAATTTTTAAGGAGCTGATCTCTTAAATTTCATTTCGAATCACGCGACATTATAGGAGATAAGTAGTAAATTCGTACAATTTAAAACTAGTGGCAAGTTCTGTTAACCCGGCTGCGTTCTTTGGGTCCTCTTCAACCCAATCACTTATTTTCTCAACGACAGTTTATTCATTCAATCTTTTTCTATATATTCTCATTTTTTCTCATTTTACCAGGGATACTTTCCCATTTAGAAATAGTTTTATAAAGTTATTATTGAAATATATATTTCTACATTTTTAATAATATTTCAATTACAATAGATAAACTGAAGAACGCAGCAGGGTTAACCTGCTAACAAGTATTCTCGACCGAACGGTTACAGAACTCTGAACCTTGAGAAAGGTTGTTCCCCGCGTGCCGTTTCATCGTGTCTTAGTTTGAAATGTAAATAATCTCGGGCACAATATTTCCAACCACTTCGGGATTTCCGATAAAACGTGGCTGGTCTGTCTCCGGCAGGCTTCCGTCCATTCTGGAATTACCATAGACCGGCAAAAAAACTGGCCGGGGTCTCTGTCCCCTTGTTATGTAGCGAGAAAATTGCAGGAGTTACGAGAATTCGAATAGTACCACTCGATGAACGAACAGAGAACGAACTTTACTTTGCCGCATTGATTAAACTGAAAATATTATCCAACATTGAACAGAAATATTTTCGATCGCGGTATAATAAAAATATTGAAAATCCTTTCAATATTGCATTTCAATTCGCAGCATGAAAGACCGTCATTATTGAATTCTATTTTCATCGATAATAACTTCTATAAATACCCGTTGGAGGAATGTCAAATTTGAATAGAATTACTCAATTGAATAATGGTAGATTACTGTAACAAATTAATATACACAGACCGAATGAATCACTCAAATAATATCTTCGTGCAAACAGACCAATTTTCTCTAAGCTACCCAAATGAACGTTTAACCAAATTGCTTAATTAAAATCATTAAGAATCGTTCAACGCGAAATTCATCCAAATATCTCCCAATCAACTGAACCTCTGTTCATAACAATTCAAGCATTTGCCAACTCTTCAAAACAAGGATCACAAGCATTGTATTCATGCAATTCCCATTTACAACGTCCTTTCAAAAACACCCCTTTCGCGAAACTTTCCTCGTCCAGCGACCCTTTTCTTCGACGGAAACCTTTTTTTTCTCAATGGGAGCCATTCGAAAACTGTTCGAAGCTTCTGCGTTCGAGGTCGACGACCTTTAGAACTTGAGGGGTCGCCTGGTCGACAGGGAAGCCCGACAGGGCGTTACGTGTCCATCAGCCTCCTTATTAAACTCGCGCTCCCAGAAATTTCTTGCCGCGGAATCGTTGGGGCCCGGAAAGTTGGTCAACTTTTTGACGAGGCTGCCTCGTCCGATTCTATTAGGCGGGCACGGGTTACACAATTCCTTCGGAACGAATCGCTGCGAGTTCCGCGAACTAGAAATTCCGGGAGCGTAACCGGAAGGGCTGATTCCGGGCGCAGTTGGTGCTGTTTCTGTCTGTGACCGATAACTCGATTGAAATTGCCGGCTGAATGGGCCACCTTTTTTTTTCCGACGGAGCCACGTTTCCGTGTCCATCGATAATTACAGAATGCCGGGGTCCTCGTTGAATATGTTATTCAAAGTTAAAAATGTTCAAGGTACGAGAGGGAATGATTGAACGGAGAATGGGAGCTTGGAAATCCCATTAACCATTTTTCGATCGTTTCATAGGAATTACGGGTTTTCAGGTAGGAACAAAGGGTACGGGTATTTTAATTTATCGGTTATATTCGGAAATGTTTGGAAAATGCTCAAAGTAGAATCATTGAATCGAATGCTCGGAAAACCTGAAAGGGACGTACATGGAAAGATGAAATTGATTTGAAATGTTGCTGTCGAGCCGGTGAGAGTTTTCGTTGTCGGGAATGTTCGGTTAAGGGAGAACGTTTGCTGTGTATCGTATTTGGTAATGATTAGGATATTTTAATTTATCAGTTACATTCAAAAACATTTGAAACATATTCAAAGTAGAAGTAAAGTGAAAATATCAAAATTCTGAACGAATTAGATACTTCATTACTGGGAAAATTTAATTAAGAGAAAATGTTCGCTGCGCATAAAACCTGGTAGCTGTAAAGGTTAAAAATATTTTAATCCGTCAGCTGTATTCGGAAATGTTTGAAACATATTCGGAGCAGAGATAAATTCAAAGTTACAAAATTCTACAAAATATATTAAAATATGAAATTGCTTCGAACATTAAAAAATGAAAACAAGATTTTCCAGAATTGTTAAGATTCAATGAAGAGAAACTGTTCGCCGTAAGTAATCCAGCAGAAATCGGTCGCATTTAAAACAGATTGACAAAGAAGACCGCCGTGCAATGATGATACTGCTCCTGGTGAACGTTTAAACGGCGGATAAAATTAACGGTGATTAGACCGGGTGAGTTGTTGCCGAGATTGGTTTAAATAGCGCTAATATGTGCACTCGTATGAATTTCTACGGGGATATTACTAATTAATATAATGTTGTCACGGGCAAATAAATTATCCGTGGCGTTTTGATACCGTAATGCTGTATCTCATCGCGGTACAATCCATTCGGAAAGTCCAATTGGCAGTATCGATTACCGTGAATTTCTGTTTATAGAATGCTTGATAGATTTCAATATTTTCGATTGTATTTAGGAAAATTGAAAAACGTCCCGTGGGTGCGTTCCTCCCTTGGTTCCAATATATATACGTATATCTAGTCGATCATTGTTCATCTGAAACAGTGGCGCGCAGATTCGCTCGATTCCCAATATTAATTTTAATCGACTTTCAATTAGGTAAGCAAACCAAACGTTCATTTTCGTGGGTGGTTGGGAGCGTTCCAAATATCCAAACGGATCAAAGCTCGTCCGTTCACGATATAAAATCATGAAATACAGACGGCGCATTAAACTCTAATGACGCTTCGGTCGGCGTGCATTAAAATCTGACTCCCAGTTCCGTTATATTTCATAAACTGTTAATGCTCGAATCGCATGCGTTGAATTCCGTTTTCATCGTGTCTGTTGCTCGTCGATTCTTGATCCATCCTATTGAAGTGACTCGTCAAACGCCAGTGTTTCAAAAATGTCGCCTGTTCGATGTAGAATATATAAAAATGTGAATTCAGCCTTCAACCACTAGATTTTAGATGAATTTC